AGCAGGGGACACAGGAAATGGAGACAAAGCAGGCTTTCTGATCAAGTCTCGTTTATTGAAGGCAAGCTCAGGGTAGTTATATGCACAGTAAGAGGGAGTGGGGGAGTTCCACCAATGGTATAGGGGCGGGGTATTCCAGGAAGAGATACAGCTTTGTCCGTAATCTGTTCTTATCACAAGGACCACCAAGGGTATAGGGGCGGGGTATTCCAGGAAGAGATACAGCTTTGTCCATAATTTGTTCTTATCACAAGGAGGTCTTGACAACTGCAACCTAGTAATTTTCCAGAGGTCATACTGGGCCTGTGGTCCCTTACAGAAAATTTGGCAAATGCACTGGACAGGTAGACACAGAAAAAAGAAAAGAAATGACCTAAGATGACACAGAATGATACGGACTGCATTAGAAAAAAAGCAGAAATGCCCTTTTCTGCAAGGGAATGATACTAATGATACCTTATTATTAAATGTAGAATTTCACCTGTAACACATAATTACATGAAGGTCATTTGAAAATTACATATATTTCATGATATTGTGAAATGAAGTGCCCAGTGCATTTTTTGTTTTTTTTGTTTTCGTTTTTATTTTTTGTGGGGCAATCAGGGTTAAGTGACTTGCCCAGGTCACATAACTAGTATGTGTTGAGTGTCTTCAGTGGGAATTGAACTCAGGTCCTCCTGACCCCAGGGCCTGTGCTCTATCCACTATGCCACCTGCTGCCCCCCAGTGCTTTCTAACTTGGTGTTTCAGGATATATTGCTGAGATACGATTCCCCCCCCACCAGCCCAGTAAACCAAAAAGTTGGAAGTTCTATTAGAATTTGTAGTTTGTTGTACTGGATCAGATATGGCAGTAAAAGCATTCAGATACCAACATCTGTTATGGCATTGTTTCAGTGACGTGGTCTAGCCAAAGCTAGCATTTGACAAAATGTTCCATGTTAAAAAGGATATTTTAGACCTGGGAAGTCTTCCGTGAATCTAGAAGAAATCCTGATGCATTGTACTTCAAAATTATTAAATATTCTCTTCAATGTCCTTTGTGGTCTTCATTTACACCAATGAAAGTGTGATCCCCTTAGTTCTGTCTTTTTTTTATTTCTTCTAATGAAATACTCACCTCATCCTTAAAAATATTTCTAAAGAAAATTACTTCATATTCAAAATACATTCAAAATATAAATGCTGCCAGTCTCCTATGCTTCCATAAAACCCTGCTTAATATATATTACAGATATTTAGCATGTATATGTATATACATGTGTATGTATATGTATAAATACATATTTATATGTGTATGGATACATATACACAGAGCCTTGTGCACATATATGTATATATTAGCCTGTAAGCCATGAAATGGCTATGACAGAGAAGAATTATAAAGGTCAGAACTAAATTTATGGTCTGTCAATTGCTTATCAAAACTATTTTTAAGTAAACTACCCTGATTTTATTTATTAATGGCTATGTATTAAAAGGTATTTTAATTTCATACTTTTTCATTTCACAAGAAGGGTTCAGCTAGTACTTTTGTGTCATGTTGGGTTTAATTTTTCACATTATTTTAAAATATTTATTTATGACTTTAGATCATTTTTTACAACACATTCCTTTTTTCAACATACTACCCACACTGAATTGATCCTTCCATTGTTAAAAGAACTAAGCAAAGCCAATATATAAAACAAACACATCTAACAGTGTACACATCACTACATTCCTGTAGTTTCCACCTCTACTGAACAGAGTGACGTGTATTTTGTCCCCTCTTCTCTGTAATCAAGAAAGTTCATTTAACTGATGACAATGAAGCATTAAATGGAACCAACTCAAATTTTAATGGAGCATTACATACATTTATACTTTAATGGATTCAGGATTTCATCAGTATAAATATTCCATCCACTAGTGTAAACTGCAGCCCATCCATGCCTCTCCTACAGAGTTCTTGTGTACTTATCTTTGGAACTCCTGTCCTAGGATCAAACATATTTGGATAGTGGCTAAAAGTGTTTATACTATTCCACTTGGCTCATTATATCTACGAGTTCACAACCCATAATCCAAATATCATGTTTTAGCTTCATATACCATCCCACTACCTACCATCTTGTGCACCTCTACCTTTTCAAATTGCCTCCCCTGGTCACCTGTCCCCCATATGTATTGTCTTTTCCTATCTCTTTGAGGGCAGGGATTGTCTCTTTTTAAAATTTTTATATTCCCACAACATAACAAGTTTCTCACTCATTCATTTATTCATTTTTCCATAAATTCTCCATAGTATTCTCCGAAAACATTCCAGGCTTGCTTCGGTTTCTTTTAATGTTTTATAGACAGCAATGCAACACTCTGACTATCTATCACTTCACCATCACTTTCACTACATGGCTGGCTCACCTTTCCTAGTTAATTATCTTCTAAATGATGTTTTTTATTCTACTTACACTATTTCTTCCATGCAAGTGTAAGCATTGTGGGGAGGGTGGACTGAGTCAACCAGTCGAACCATTCTATCCCCTTTTTAATGTAACTCATAATAGCTGTGCCCTGATACCCTTATGGCAAATCCACTATCAGTAGTTGTAAGCAATCAAAATCATTGAACACTTTCTGTTCTCTTAACTTCTGGGTTTTGGCCTCCACTGTATATTCCTAGAGGTAGCTGTAAAAGCACAGTTCCTCCATTAATTCTTAATGCCATTTGGTTTACTATTGAACTCATATTAACAGCTAAGGTGGTATTTCTGGGTGTGAATCCCAGATGGTGGAAGAGAGGAAGCACTAAAGGCAAGCTCTTCTAATTAAGACTGCCAGAAAGCCATGATTAAAAAAAAAGGCCTGAACATTATTCTTCAAGAAATTATCACGGGAAAGTGCCCTGATATCTTAGATCCAGAGTATAAATAGAAATTGAAAGAATCTACTCACTGATTTCTAAAGAAGATCTCAAAATGAAAACTCCCCAAAATATCCTATATTTCAGAGTTCCCAGGTCAAGGAGAAAATATTGCAAGAGCCAGAAAGAAACAATTCATGTATCAAGAGTCATGCTCAAGATCACATAACATTTAGTGACTTTCATTGTAAAGGAGCGAAGGTCTTGGAGTATGATATTCTGCAAGGCAAAGGATCTAGGATTACACCTACCCAGCAAAACTGAGTATAATCCTTCAGGAGGAAAAATGGATATTTAATGAAACAGAGGACTTTCAAGCATTCCTGATGAAAAGACCAGGGCTGAATAGAACATTTGAAATTCAAACACAAGACTCAACAGATGCAGAAAAAGGTAAACAGGAAAGAAAAATCATAAGGGACTCAATAAGGTTTACATGTTTACATTCCTATATGGGAAGATGATTCATGTAACTCCTAAGAACTTTATCATTATTAGGGCAGTTAATACACTTGAAACAGAGAGACATACATAGAATTAAAATAAAGGACTGGAGCAGAATCTAATATGCTTCAGCCGAAATAAAAAAAAAAGCAGGGGTAGTAATCATGATCTCAGACAAAGTGAAAGCAAAAGTAGACTTAACTAAAGAGATAATGAGGGAAACTACATTGTACTAATAGAAATTAAGTAAATATATTTTTTAATAAGTTTCTCTCCTAAAGGACTCATTTCTCAACTATATAGAGAACTGAGTCAGATTTATAATCACTATTGATTAGAGAAATGCAAATTAAAGCAACTCAGCAGTACTATCTCACATCTATTAGAAATGACAAATGCTGGAGGAGATAAGGGAAAATAGGTACACTGATGAACTGTTGCAGGGAGTTAGTGAACTGATCCAACCATTTTGGAGAATGATTTGGAACTGTGCCCAAAGAGCTATAAAACTATGTATACCCTTTGACCCAGTAATACCACCGCTCTGTATCCCAAAGAGATCAAAGAAAAAGGATAAAAGATCTATATGTACACAAATATTTATAGCAACTTGGTGGCAAAGAACCAGAAATTAGGGGGCTGTCCTTCAATTAGGGAATGGCTGAAAAGGTTGTGGTACATGATTGTGATGGAATGCTGTTGTGCTGGGAAGAGCTGAATTGATGTAGAATGAAGTAAGCTAAACCAGAAGATCACTGCACACAGTTACAGTGATATTATAATGATGATCAACTGTGAAAGACTTAGCTACTCTGATCAATACAACGATCCACGACAGTTCCAAAGGGTCAATGATGAAAAATGCTATCCATTCCCAGAGAGAAAACTGATGAACTGATGAAGTACAGATTGAAACATACTTCTTTCACTTTATTTTTCTTGCTGTTTTTTTTCTAGCATGACTGTTATGAAATATGTTTTGTATGCCTTTGCATGGATAATTGATATCATATTACTTGCCTTCTCATGAGTGGGGGAAAGGGGAGGAAGGTAAAGAGAGAATTTGGAACTCAATTTAAAAAAAAAAAGAATGTTATGGAGCAGTGGGGTGGTGCAGTGGATAGAGCACCAGCCCTGGAGTCAGGAGGACCTGAGTTCAAATTTGACATCCGACTCTACCTGTGTGATCCTGGGCAAGTCACTTAACCCCAATTGCCTTGCCAAAAAAAAAAAAAAATTAAAATAAAGGTTTTTTTTTTTAACAGCTAAGATGAAACTGGCTCATTTGTACTAGTTTCATTAGCTCCAAAAGGGGGCAAAGATAAAAACTCCTCCAATCCCCTATACAGCAATATTTATTGAATGTCTGTTGTGTAAAGAACACTATACCAGATTTTTTTTGAAGAAACTAAGAAATAGACTTTCTGCTATGAATGCACATACAATCTAAGTGGAGCAAAGGAGCAGACATAGATGAAAATGAATAATTAAAAGAAATATAAACAAGTACAAATAAATACAGTTTTGTAAGAGCCTGGAGTGAAGGGATAAGAACTATCATATGTTTCATTATTTTATAAACTCCAATTTGAGCTTAGATTTTTGGGATATAAGAGAATGTTTTAACCAAATATTTCGCTTTATCTTACAGCTAGGGAAACCTTACCTGATTTAGTTTCCATAATTCCTGACACAGTGCCAAGTTCTGATCTGCTCATTGAGACTACAGCTTCTGCCTGTTACACTTTGAACAATTTAATCCAGAATAGCCAGCAAAACGCACAAGATCTTTTGAATACTGGAGGCTTTCTGAAGATTATAGCTATCAGCATGGGTGATAGGTGAGTCATGACCTTGGATGAGACCTCAGAAGTCATCTGTTCCAATTTGACATATTAATGAATCTGTTCAAGAATCCTCAGTAAGTAAGTACTGGTCCAGTCTTCTTGAATGTCTTCAGGGATGGTAACCTCACTGTCAACTAAACTTGCTACTCCTTATTTGGAGCTGCAGTCTGTCTTCTATATATTTCTCTTTCCTCTGGGACTAAGATGAACAATTATAATCCCTCTTCCAAATAAGTCTTTAAAATATTTGAAGGTAATGACCATGTTCCTACACACACACACACACACACACACACACACACACACACATACACACACACACACTTCAAAGTTCTTTGAGTAGTGTTATCCCCACATATAATGGACTAAATCTTTCAGAATGGCCTTTAGGTGGCTTGGCTAGTAGGGGAAGGGAAAAGAAAGGAATATGCATTTATATAGCATCTTCTATGGGCCAGGCACTATGAGGCAAATAGAGGTAAAGTGATTTGCCCAGGGTCACATAGCTAATAAGTATCTGAGGGTGGATTTGACCTTAGGTCTCCCTGACTCCAGATCTAGTGTTCTATCTACTTCATTACTTAGCTGCCTCAAATAGAAGCAATTTGATAAGATCTAGCCTAGGGGTGGGGAACCTGTAGCCTTTGAGGTCTTTGTTTTGGTTTTTTTGTTTGTTTAGGCAATTGGGATTAAGTGACTTGCCCAGGGTCACACAGCTAGTAAGTGTCAAGTGTTTGGTCTGAGGCCAGATTTGAACTCAGGTCCTCCTGACTTCAGGGCCAGTGCTCTATCCACTATGCTACCTAGCTGCCCCACCTTCTAGGTCTTTGGATGCAGCCTTTTGACTGAGTCCAAGTTTAAAAAAAAAAATCCAAAATAAAAATCCTTTTATTAAGGGGATCTGTTCTGTGAAGTTTTAATTCAGTTAAAGAGCTGCACTTGAGGACCTAGAGGGCCACAGGAGACTTCGAGGCCATAGGTTCCCCACCCCTGGTCTAGCCCCTTCATCCCAGATGCTTCTATCCTTAAAAATCTCTAGGAATCAAAATTTGAAGGCCCTATTCTAGTGTTTTATTACACAAATATGCTGATTTGTCCCTGGGACCATAGTTGTAAGTTAAAATCTAATTGGGCAAAATGGGAATACAATCATTTTTTGTATTAACAAGACCCTAGAAATGGTCATGGAATACATACAAAAGTAACTGAGGAGGAAGGAGTAGGACATCAGCTAAGATCCAGGTAATCTCATACAGGACAATGACCCCTAAAGTCTCAGTGTGGTTTACCTACTCTAATTTGAAAAGCTGACATCACTCCACTTGACCCAGAGGCAGCTGTAGTAAGGTAAAGGGAAATATGAATAACAGACAAATTCTTTTTTCATGGTTTTGTTTATCATCTCCCTGAAACCCTCTTTCTGGATAAGAGAGTATTTTGCCATTACAACTATTCCATTAGCATAAATCTCGTGCAAATGAGGTAGCAGTCATAAATTCAGCCTCCACATAGACAGACCCACTAGTAGTGCCATTAATATCACACATTCATGCTATTTGTTACAAGGGAACTAGGTATGGATTACCTCAAATCCATCTCCATCATGTGATAGGGAAGGAAGTAGGAAAACATCAAAGCCTATACTCTATTATCAATGGAAGTACAATTGCTTCCATTACAACCCTCAGTTATTTGAGGGAGTAGTTCTGATTCCTATCACTGCCCCCTCCCCCCAAAGAAAAGGCCCAAAATGACTTAAGACGAGTTTTCTATGTCCTAATCTAAAGTACTGGTAAGTTGAACGATTCAGAACAAAACTGCTCGTGGCAGGGAAAACTGAGGGATTCAGTAAGCCAATAAGTACAGACATTTCCATGTTAGAAGAATCTGGTTTATGGTATGCATGTGAACAAAACTCTATAAGGTGACATTATTTTAATAACTTAGGCATAGGGATGTGACCCTCACAGGGAAATAAGCTGTCATTAATAGAAACTATTTGAATAAGTGAGCCTTACTGCAAGCTATGTGCAAGAAATGAGTATGCTACTTAGTCGCCTATTTATTTTCTAAGTATGCCATTTAGTAGCAAAAAAATCACCCAACCTCCACAGCTCAAAAAACTAATCCAGTTTTTTCACTTTACCTTCTCTAAATGGAGGAAAAGGCAACTACACCCAGAATAAGAGAATAAAAAATCACTGCCACTCCTGGTAGTAGTTGATGGTAATAAATCAAAATTAAATGTTTGTTTGTTTGTTTTTGGTGGACTAAGCCTAGGAACCTAACAAATATTTGCAAATTGTTTCCATGGGAAAATATATATTCCAAACTCCAATTCTATGACTGAAAATACAAACTTGTTACAACAAAACCATTTTATAAATCAGAAAATTCCTGTATATATTGGGTATTGAATACTGTACTGGGTACTATGGGAAATAATAGCTAACATTTAAACCTCTTTAAAGTTTACACAGCACTTAAATATATTATTTTATTTTATCTTCACAACAGCCCTAGGAGGTAGTTATTACTTTCCCCATTTTACAAGATGAGGGAAATGAGACAGAAGTTAAGTGATTTGCCTATGGACTGGGCACTCTAGTAAGCATCTGAGGCAGGATTTGAACTTGGGTCTTCCTGACTCCAAGTCCAGCACTCTATACACTTCACCACCCACCATAATAAAATAAAAAGAAATGCCTCTTGTCACCGTGGTAAAGAAGAATTAATAGATGGAAGTTCAGATAAAGATGAGCAGTAAGAAGCAGAGGGCCTATACATTTGCCAAATTTGACAATTTTCGTAAGTTTTTTTTAGGGGTTACAGATCTTTAATTTCTCTTTGAAGAATTTTCTCTTTTCCTTTTCTCTTTTACAGCTATGTATCCAACAAAGCTAGTAAAGCAGCTTCTGTGCTACTCTATTCCCTGTGGTCTCACACTGATCTCCACAATGCCTACAAGAAGGTAGGACATCTCAAAGGAATTAGATCCATATCTACAACCCACAGGCCTCTTCTGCAAATCAGCAATCTAGTGACATAGTGACCTAAACAAAACCTTTAATTTTACAAAGGAGGAAACTGAGGTTCAGAGACTAAGTCACTTGCTCAGGGCCATCCAGCTTATAAGCAACAGAACTAAGACTCTGATAGGTGAAAGATGAAATGATGAGGAAACAAAGGTTGGAGCTCGCAAGCATTTCAATTTATTATGCATGCCAATTGCCTAACAAATCAGGGCCGGTCATCTTCCTCAGCTTTCGCACTGGACCCCAAATATAAAGGGAGACAGATTTTTATACATTAAAAACAATTGAATAAGACCAATTAATTAATAGGAAACAATACAACACTAGGTAATCTGATTTTTAATTGGAGGAAGGATTAAGGACTTTCTAAATTGGAAGGGGGAGAGCAAACAGGTGCAATTTCCTGAAATCAGAAAAAAAAAACTGTCCCACTCCCCCCAAGTATCTGGAAATCAAAGGAACATGGAAACAATAACTGATTAGTATGGGGCCAGTTTTCAGATAAGACATGGGTTACTTGAGAGGTACAGTTATGAGAAAATTCTTTGCATCAGTCTTAGGATCTGACTGGGTTTCTGATCAGCATAACCGAGGTCCTTAGTTAAGGGTCTCTAAACAGCAGATAAAGGTAGTCCAGCTTCCCAGCCATGCAAGGCTAGTTTTAAACAATGCAGTATATTTTCTCACAATTTCCACAATTGAATAGTTTCCTCATAAGACAGAAATTGGACTAGACACATAAATAAAGGGAATTGAGCTAGCTCCAGAATTGAGTCACAAGATGGAGTCAGTGTGGTTCATTCAATTTCCACCACCACTTGCTGTTCCAATCTTCTCAATTCCCTCAATTTTCCCCTGCTGACTCATGAGGGACTGGGCAGAGCCAAATCTGTAAGTTTTTTCATATACCTATAACCAGAACTGCATGTCAGATTACAGATCAAACCACTGTTTTATTCAGGGCCCAGCTTCTCCATTTGGTACTTTTCCTTCTCCCTTTAGCTATTTATTCTTTCATTGCTTCATGGTCATTATCCCTCTACTAGAATGGGGAGTAAAAGAAAGAAAATACAACTTAGTACAGGCAAGCCAGGTTTACTATTTGTTGTCTACTCTGATATATTTAACAGCTTTGGGGGAAAATAAATAAAATTATATTTGGAGCTTTTCTATGGATTAAAATTTTCCATGCTATTCCTTTCCTCTATCTCCCTTCCCCCCAATGATTGAAAGTTGGCTATTTTACCTATATCATAAAATTTTATTGTATTGCCTTAACATTCAAAACCTTTGGAATATAAAGATTTCTGGAGCAGTAGTTTAAAAAAAAGTCCACTTACCTAAAGAATTTAATTTAATCCCTTGGCGTTCACTGCCTTGGATTTAACCTGTACCTCAAAGAGCCTTAGTGTTGTGGAATGCATCATGGGCAATCTCCTCATTTGAAAGTTATTGTTATTCATAATGTCTTTTTTTTTCTTATTTCAAAGGCTCAATTTAAGAAGACAGATTTTGTCAACAATCAGACAATCAAAGCCTACAACTCCCTTAAAGACTGAGAAAGATGAAATAATGATAGTAGAGACTGCCAGAACTACATCTCTTGTGAGAAAACCATGTTTTTTAGTATTTGCCTCACCACTGGTCAACTGCACAAAGCTTCAAGAAGAAAAAAACTGATTTTTGTGCCCCTCCCCAAAAACCTGTCTCATTACTTAGCCTTTCCTCTTCTATTTTCTTCTTATCCTGGGTCCCTAGAAAAGAGAGAATCAGAGAGTATAATACTAGATTTCTGCCAGAACACTTTGTAAGCTAACCTTTACCATTGTTGACAACTTCTAACACCACAGACCATTTGGGTACAGGGGTATTTTCCCCAGGCCATCATCACTGAACTGGTTATACTCTCTTGCCTTCTCCATCTTGACCCCCAAGTCAGCTCTGCACCATCCTCTTCTCTCAAGTCCATTGCCCTGCCAAATCCCAGCTTCGGATTACTCCAGACATTTGCTGACTTCATTTCACAGGAAGCTCAAGAAAATATTCATTCCAAGTTTGTTACATGATCTCAACTAGGCCCATTACGGCACCAAGGCAATCTTGTTATACCTCCTTAGCCGATTCATTATTCTTCTCACCATGGCAGCTCTTCCAGACATTTTTATCCCTTCTCAAACCTTCCATGGCTCCCTCTCTCCCCACCCTCTCAGCTGAGAACTTGGCCTCATATTTCACTGAACAAAAATTGAGGCCATTTGCAGGGAGCTTCTTCCCTATACTCATTTCATGTCATTCAAATGCCTTCTGCTGCTATCTTCTCCTTCACTCACATTTCTCGTGAAAAGATGGCCCATCTCAAAGGCAAATACCTTTCTGTGCACAAGTGATCACATTTCATCCCATCTTTTCCAGCAGACTACCCCCCTCTATCATTCCTACTCTCACCAATCTTCAATCACTCCCTGTCTACTGGCTGCTTTCCTACTACCTACAAATACACCTATATCTCTCTGATCCTCAAAAAACCTACACTTTATCCATCCATCCTTGTAACTATTGTCCTATATCTCTTCTTGCTTTTGTGGATAATGTCCCTGAGAAAGCTATCTAGAATTAGTGCTTTTACTTTCCTTTACTCTCACCCTCTTCTTAACTCTTTTTAGTCTGGCTTCTCAATTCATAATTCAACTAAAACTTCTCTTTCCAAAGTTACTAAGGATCTTTTAACTGCCGGATCTAACAGCCTTTTCCCAATCCTCATCCCTCTTGACCTTTCTGCAGACTTTAAGAAGCTGCACTGCCCATCACCCTCTCTTCCTTGATACACCCTCTTCTCTAGGTTTTCATGACAGAATTCCTTCCTGCTTCTCCTCCTGCCTGTCTAAATGCTCCTTCTCTTTCTCTTTTGCTGGATCTCCATCCAGGTCAGACTCACTAACTACCTAAGTGACCTAGGGCTCTGTTCTGTTTCACTTGGTAATCTAATCAGCTCCCATGGATCTAATTATCATCTCTATGCTGATGATTCTCAGATCGTCTTATTCATCACTAACTTCTTTCATCAACAACTGACTATCAGACATTTCAAACTGAATATCCCACAGATATCTTAAATTCAACATGTCCAAGACTGAACTCATCTTTCCTAAAAATCCTCCCTTCTTCCAAAGTTCCCTATTTCTGTAAAGCTTAACACCATCTTCCCAGTCATTCAAGCTCAAAATCTAGGGGTCATTCTCATCTCCTCACTCTCACCAATAGTATCCAATCTTTTGTCAAGTCTTATTGTTTCTACCTTCATAACATCTCAATAATATGCCCCCTTTCTGTCCTCTGACACTGACATCACCACAGTTCAGGCCTTCATCACCTTGCACCTGGACTACAATAACGTGCTAATTGGTCTGCCTGCCTCAAGTCTCTCCCTACTTCAATCAGTTGTCCACTCAGCTGTCAAAATGACTTTCCTAAAATGCAGATTTGACCATATTATACACACACACACACACACACACACACACACACACACACACACACTCACCTTTTATTCAGTAAACTTCAATGGCTCTCTACTACCTCCAGTATCAAATGTAAACATCAAATCCTCTGTTTGGTTTTTAAAGCTCTTCTTAACCTGGCCTCTTCCTATCTTTCCAGTCTTCTTACATCTTTCTCAGCTCCATGTATTCCATAATCCAATGACCTTGATTTCCTTGCTGTTCCTCACACAAGAAACACCATCTTCAGACTCAGCTTTTTCATTGGCTGAGCCCAATGCCTGGAATAATTTTCCTCCTCATCTCCACCTCCTGATTTCCCTGGATTCCTTCAAGATTCAGCTAACAGGGCAGCTATGTGGTGAAGTGGATAAAACAACAGCCCTGGAGTCAAGAGGACCTGATTTCAAATCTGGCCTCAGACACTTGTTAGCCTGTGTGACCCTGGGCAAGTCACTTAACCCTGATTGCCACAACAACAAAAAAAAGACAGCTAAAGTCTCACCTTTTACAAGAAACTTCTATCAGTCCTCCTTAAACTTAGTGCCTTCCCTCTGAGACAGCCCCAAATCTATCACACACAGACACACACACACACACACACACACACACACAATGTGTGTATGTCTTGTTTGTACATAGTTGCTTGCATGTTTTCTCCCCCATTTGATTGTGAGCTCCTCGATGACAAGAACTGTTTTTTGCCTTTCTTCATAACTTCAGAGCTTAGCATAGTGTCTAACTATGGAGTAGGAAATAATTAATAAATGCTAGTTGACTAACTCACTAATTTATCCTAGCAATGAATAGTAGGAATTAGCATTATCACCCTCCCCCAGGAGTCTCTTGAAATGGGACTGTACATGAGTATTAATGGAATGGACAAGGAAAGAAGCTATTAAGGCTTTTAAACATTTGAAATAAAAACTCTTTTTCCTTTTCCATGTTTTATCATACCTATACACATTTCTGTACCCTGGAATCACAGATATCCTGTTTATTTTATACAATGTTGAGTCAGAATGGAAATAGTAAAATTGTAAAAGAAATAAATTAAGTCCAAATCTGCAAGAGAATATTCAACTTGTTGACTCTTCCTCTCTTATATGATAAAATTCAATTAAAAAAAAAAAACACTTAAGCCCTATTTACCACCTAGACCAATACATCACATTGAAAACCACATATGGAAATAAAGTAAGGATGGAAAACTTCAAAAACTAGCAGGCAGAGAAAAGCAATCATAGTTATGCCATGTTTCGTATAGTGTGACATTTGAAAAAGATTCGAGAGAAATAGTTTCTGGGTAATTTAATCATTTTGTTAATAAGGCCAGGAGGTTATCAGTAAAAGGACGGTCATTTGGCCATCTCTCTGAGACTAAAGACAATCATGGCAGGACTCACAGTTTATATACCTTTCAAGTCAGTATGTGGTCCACCAAATAGCAATCAAACTTAATTGGTTAATTGTGATTGGAGGTGAGTTATACTAAAATGTTGGGATTAGTATCTCTTAGGGAAACTATCTCTATACCTGACTACCCATAGCTTTAGGCTATCAATTTAAAGAATATATACACCACCCAAGCCTGAGAAGAACACAATGGACTTCCACACCTTAAATTCTTCTAAGGTTGGGTGGGGTCTGACCAAGACTGAGGAGAATTAATGCAATCTCATTATCAGTAATATCTTTCTGAAAAAGAACTGAACTTTTAAAGGAGTTTAGACAGCTCTGAATCACCCCCCAAATTATTGGTTATTAATAATAATTTCTTACAATAGACACAGGTAAATGGAGTAATCTTCCAAAGACACTCATTTTCCCATTAATTAGCAAAAGGACCTTATTTCATATGAGAAATTTAAAAGGTGAATTTATGGCAAAATTCAAGTTGGAATAGTTCTAATACCACAGTGACAGTCAGTCTAAGCCAGGGGTGGGGAACCTGCAGCTTGGAGGCCTGCTTTAAGCTTTCTCCTAGCTAGCCTCTATCCTTGAGATACATAAAAGGAAGAATGGGAGCTAATCCTTTCTAAGTGGGTAGGTGGGGGAAAGGAACATGACCTTTGACCTTGTGTGTGTGTGTGTGTGTGTGTGTGTGTGTGTGTGTGTGTGTGTGTGTGGTGACAGCATTCTGAATTGAACAAATAACTTATTAAATTAAGATTTTACTTAGTTCAGTATTCTGAGAACAAGACCAAGCCATTCATCCTCATGGGACCTATGCTTCAGTCATTTTAAGTAAGGTAATCCAAGAAAACTTTAGAAAGGAGAGAAAAGGTAGTGATTTAGAAAACTAGCAACAGGAAGCAAGAAGAAAAATATTGCTGAGTATTTGTGTTTATGCTGTCATAAAATGAAATAGGTTTCTATTTATAATCCATTGAAGCAGCTGGAAAAGCAACAGGGGCGCTTTCACTGACCTCATCAACAATATCTGATTCACCTCATAAACATCCTAAAGCTGAATAACTGAGGCAGAGAGCTGAAGAAGGACCTGCAATTTTGTCACCCAGATACAAATGGGGTATGGAGTTTGAAAAACAGCTAGAAGGACAGTCATCAAAATGATGGGGTAATTGGACCCCAGATAAAGACCATGTCTTTGGCAGTAACCCATGAGTGGGCCCCAGTGAGGAAAACTATTCCTTCCTGCTACAGGAACAAGTTGGGCCTGCAGAATTTCCTTATATAGACAGAACTATCCTGTACTGACTCCCACAGTCACTGTATATAGTCCAGAGGTCAAGCCATAGACATCAACTCCCAAGGATATCTTGTACAAACAGGACAGCCATGACCACTCACTAGTTGACTTACTAATGAAGCACACCCAAAAACACACCCCCTCAGAAGCCCCCACCAAGAATTTCCAGTAGTGAATTTTGGGTATGAAGCCTGGGCCCAAGGTACAGAAATTGTATGTTCCTTTAAGAACTGACCACTCCTTGATTCCTCCCCACACAACCTAATTAAGCATAGTTGGCACACCATGCTCTGAGCTTTCCTCATAAGAAGCTTTCACCTAACCTCCACTAGGTTGTGAGTCCCCTTAAGGAGCTCAGCCCATTTTAAAGCATCACAATAAAGTTTTGCCACTTGACTTGTTGAGTACATGAATTCGTTACAGATGACACCACCCCCACCCCAATATTTTTGGAGTCCCTTCTCCACAACATTTTTGGTGGCCCCTACAGGGATAGTTTGAGGTCTCAAGCCTTCTCCCAGGCAAGGAAAAGTTAAGCTTCCCCTCCCTTCACCCTGTAGTTGGGTCTCCCCCCACCTCTAAGCACGTAGGCTTGTTGGGACTTAGGGTCAGGCCTGCCACAGACTCTGGCAGAATTCCCTCTTGACAAGGGATGCCTTGTCCTAGGAACAACTGCGGGTCATTTCTCCCTCCCCATGCCAGTAGAGGTGAGTGATGACCACAGCATACCTCTTTCTTTCTACAGCTTATGGCAAAATGAGCCAGTTCCCTTCTACACCCCAGGATTTGTCCTTAGATTTCCTTTTAAAAAACTGGAAAAAGCTCAGTCTCCAAGACCTTAAAAGGGGAAGTTTTGTGTTCTGGAATACCTCCTCACAATCCCAATCACTCAGCATTCCCCACTCCCTTCCTGAGTCAAGAGGGTATCTCAGTATGGGGATTGCAAACAGCCCCATGTGTTCCTGTTAACCCCTCTCATCCCAGATCATATTAAGAGGAGAGTGCTAGAGAATTGTTTGAAGTCACCTAATTGGTGTTTCACATTTCAAATCTTTTGTATTCCAGAAAGTAGGTGGTTTACATCAGTCCAGAGGAAAATATTATGAGATGGATAGGCAGATCAGCCCCTTGGTCCCTGTCAATTCCCCTTATTTTGTAAATTTGCCAGATCCCAATGATCTTGCCAAATCATTTGTGCGGGCAAGTTCATCAGCCCAGGGAAAAGAGCTTGTTCGGGTTATGGAGTTACTAAACAATGAACTTGCTTGCTGAGAATTTGCAAGTTTATGTATAATATAGGAATGATTTCTAATGAATGCTTTTACACCAGAACAAATTTAAATTTGAGATGAAAATAAAAACAAATGAAAGATGTTAAGTGATCTCATGTATGTGAGTCCTGGTAAATTTTTATTGCTTATTGCAACTCCATGAGATTAAAAATAATTACATCTAGCCCTAAGCTGTGATTAGGGAAACTTGTTGTTTGGGGTAAACGCTCTTGAGACTATAAGAGATTTTGTTTTGAGGTTTGAAGTTCAAATTCAGGTACAGTTGTCTGATGGATCATAATAATCCATCAATAATCAATGGTCAATAATCTACCATTTGAGAGAAATGCCACAAGCTACTCAGAGGGAATGTGATACTGAATCGTTACAGGTGGAGGTTTGCTTCTGAAAAAAGCTGAGAGGACAACTTTAGCATTAGCTTAAGGTGAGATCCTCCTGGCTCAGTTTCCCCATTGGGTTCCTTTGAAAATGAATGTTTCCCACCTGGCCATTCCTGAGTCTGGCTATGAGGTGGAATTGATACTGCATGGTTGGGTGCCAAACTATGACTCTCACCTAAAATCAAACAGAACAAAGGCTATTTTGTCCTGTCATATTTGGTATAATCATTTCCCTACTTTTTTCTTTTATAGCAAATTTCTATAATCAGAGCAAGTGGTCAGTAAAAGATATGGTCACAATGTAAGTATGTGAGATCTTGCTGTTTTGATCTGAATTTGCAGTCATTCCATGGCCTAAGCAAGATTTAAATTAGTGTTTGAACTTATTATATGTAAAAGATTTAATTCTTGAAGTATCTCATTCTTTCAGAATGATCAGTATAATCAGAAAAGGGTAAACAAGCTTGTGAAATAAAGATTGTGAATCTATTAAGCTATGAAGTTAAAGTCAGGAACCTCTTTTTTTTTTAAAGAATAGGATTTCAGTACAGTTATGTTAGTGAAGTTAGTGAGTTATCATGTGTTATGGTTGA